GAGATAAAACCTGGCAGCTCCTGCGGAAATCTGGACAGCAACCATGGGGTCGCAGCTTCGCCTCCCAGCTGAGTTTACTGAGTGGCTCTTGCAGGCTCGTTTGGAGTGGGGGTAACTGGGGAGGCAATGGCGGGCAGCTGTCACCCCTGTCAGTGGCTCCCTGGCCAACTTGGTGCCCGGCTGGCTCAGGCCAAGCCCTTCTTCCCAGAGGGAGGAACAAGAGGAGGAAGCTTCGTGCAAATGCTCAGCTTTCCAAATGCACCCACAGGGCCCGAGTTGGGCGAGTTTCAACAGGTTTGGGGAGCACTGTCTTGTCAGATGCTTGCTGAGTTGCTCAATTGCTAATCCAGGGTTGAGGGAAGAAAGTCAAGCCATAGCAGACAGCTGGGTCGTGACTGCTGCCTGAGCAAACCCCTCGGGCAGAGCCTGGTCCCGGGGCCCTGCGAGGAGGGTGAGGGGAGAAAGCACTTAGCCTGGCTCTGGGGGGTGCTCTGGCCGGGAGCTGCCAGGTGACAGCCACACTTCCTGATACTCACTTTGGCACATCTTAGCATCACCTGAGACACGGGGCAGTAGAGCAGAGCCTCCCTCCTACTTGAGGTCTTTGAAGGTGGGCCATGATATGACAGCAACTTAAAACCCTCTGGAGTGAACAGGCCCTTCCTTCCTTTGTTCACCAAATGTTGACTAAGCACCTACTACGTGCCAGACATGTGCCAGGCACTGAGGCTGCTGTTTATGTCACAGCCTCGGCCTCCAGAGGTTTATAACCTTGTAGAAGAGGTAAGAAGCCATACTCTTAGACTACAGTTAGATATTCTCAAAACAGTTCTATAGGTGGGAATGAAAACCATGAGATCTGGACACATGAGAGCAAGTCAAGTTCAAGTCCTGCTTCTGATGTGCAGGATGCCCTTGGGGAAGTCACTGCACCTCTGGGCCTCTGAAGTGGGGCTGAAATGAATGCAGACTCCCTCCTGTGAAGGGGGAGGGGGACAGTTTATGTGGTTCTCATAGGTTCTAACAGATGCTTTTTAAGACACTGATGCTCAGTCGGGAAATTTTGCCCTCCAGGGGACATTTGGCAATGTCTAGAGACATTTTTGGTGGCCACCTGGTTGAGGCATAAGTGGCATGTAGTGGGTAGAGGCCAGGAATGCTGCCAAACATCCTACGATGCTCAGGACAGGTCTCAAATGTCAATGGTAGGATCTGAGAAATACTGATGTGAACATGTGAACTGTAAAGGGCCGTGGGTGTGTTAGTGATTGTGACTCAATGCCCACAGCCATGGGAGGTGCTCCAGGTGGATGGTTTTTTTCTATTTTGAAGGGAGGGTTTTTTTTTTAATTTTAGCTGGAGATGAGGGGGACCCTTCCTGGGGGAGACAGACCACACCTTTACCTTTGGGGTTGGCACTGCACATCTAGGCTGGCTCTGCCCACACCTGGCCCAGCAAATTGTGCCCAGGGAGTTACACACCCCTGCCAGGTAAGCAGGCACAGAGGATCTTGGCCAGGAGACGGAGATGCATACCTGCCGGGAGTCAGATCCAGTGCGGACTGAGATGCCTCCCGCAGTGGCATGGAAGGGGCTCCAGAAACTGCTCCTCGGGCCGGCAGGATCTGCCCGGGAGCCAGGCTGGCCTCTCTGCCTTTGTGAGGCACTTCCAGGGGCCCTGGTTGAAGAGCAGGTAAGTAGCAGCCTAGGAGCCTATCTGTGTGACTTGTGTAAGATCACAGGATCTGGACAGAACAGTTTTGGGTAAACAAGGCTTGGGAGCAGCAGCCCGAAGGCCCGTTCTCTCCAACACCTCTGTAACCAGAGGCACGTCTTCTCCAGTGCAGTGACAGCCACCCTCAGCTTCCCGCAGTGGCCATGCTGCTGTTTCCATGGCTGTGGCGGGCACTGTGCTCAGCATGCTACGAGCACAGGCTCACTCTGCCCTCATCACCCCCAAGGATGGGTACCATTTAACAGATGAGGACTGAGCCTCAGAGAGGCTGAGTAACCTGTCCAAGGCCACTCTTCTGGTCAGGGGCAGACCTGGGGTGGAACTGCGTACTGTCTGTCCTGGAGACACAGTTCCTAGCCACTCCGCTGGACCACCTTTGAGTGCAGCACAGGCTCCCTGCCCTGTCCTAACAGGCCTCCGTTGGGGCCCCAGCTGCATGCATTACTGCCTGTCTTCAGTGTCCACAATGATGAAACCTTAGTTTATCTGTTCTCTAACTCTTCCAGTACTTGCACTTGGGGTTCAGAACCACCTGCTGAGGATTGTAGCCCAGAGGGGAACAGAGGCCCATCCAAGGTCGCTGAGCACTGGGGGCCAAGCTGGGATTGGAACCCTGGTGTCCCGACTTCCAGCCTAGCCCCAGTGCCAGGGGGAACATTCAGAGACAGAGCCCAGGTCTGTGGCAGAGTCCAGGTCTTCCACTGATGGACTGTTTTCATCCATTCATCCCTCCCTCTGTGGTGGGAGCTGCCACAAGCTGTCAACTCACTCCTGGTGCCAGACACAAGTCTAATCAACAGCTTCCAGCTTCTCTGGGCTTGCCCAGGCCTCAGGCGGCAGAGCCCTCCCAGCTCCAAGCTCCATCCTGCCCAACAGCTGCACGCAGCGGGACACCTGGCCTCCCCGCCAGGCCACCCGCCCTTCTGAGACAACGGACAGCACTGGCTCTTGCAACCGGCTAGCCAACTGACCCTGGATGGAATCCTGACTCCAGGTACTGGAAGGGGAGTGGACACTCAGGCCTCGCTCCTCTGAGAGCACTGCCAGCCGTCCTCTTGGGGCCAGACCTCCAGCGTGGCCTACACTTGAAAAGACACAGTGCCAGCCACCGTGCCTGGAGGGACATCTGCCCGCCAGAAGCTTTTCCTTCTAGAGGCAGCTTTTGGGTCAGATGCCTCTGCCATTTACAGGCTAGGTGACTTGGGGCAATTACCTCTGTGATCCCCCAACTTTCTCATCTGTAAATTGGGATTCAGATGTCGTCAGTATTTAGACAGCACGGGGGGAGCTATTCTAATTATTGTGGTCCAGATTCTACGATCTCCAGGACAAGCCCCCTCCATAACTGCTCCAGCTCATTCAGCTCATCCCTCTCAGAGCAACAGCATGCACACTGTCTCACCCATTCGTGGTTTTGCTCTTATCTTGTCTTCCTCCAAGCTCCTTGGGGGCCAGGCTGTGACATCTATTTCCCCCAGAGCTGGCCCAGTCCCTGGCCTGGGGTTGGACCCAGTATTGGAATGTGTCCAGAGCTCCCTTCTCCATCACAGCCTCTCTGGTTCGGTAGGGTCCTAGGAAGCCTCTTGTTCCTCCTGCCTTGGGCTGAACAGAGAGACCCTTGGCTCAAAGCCCGGGGTGCAGCAGGAGTGAGCTGGGTCATCCAGAGACCTGCTTCATGGCAACCTGAACCATCACTGCTGCAGAGAACAGGTTTGCCAACCTCTCTTCTCCCTCTCGGCCTCCCCTCCTCACCTCACCCCCTACGGCGCAAGCATGAGAACTGAGCTGTGTTGGAATTCCCCATGGTTTGCGTGACCCAAAGCTGGGGCTGCCTCCCTAGCTGGGATTTCAGGCTTGGACATGGCTGAGGACGGGTAGTGACACTATCTGGACCACACTGGCTTAACTTTGAGATGGCTTCAGGGAGGGGGGTATGTCACTGCCCGGGAGTCAGGGCACCTGGGTTCAGTTCTCATCTCTGAGTTTAAGCAAGTAGCTCCCCCTCCTGGGGCCTCAGTTTCCTCATCTATAAAACGAGCCAAGACACTAGATGCTCTTGATGGATGTCTCTCTCTTCCCTGAAAGCCTGAGTCAGACCCTTGAATTGCCACCTTTCCCTTTTCGTAGCCCTCAGCCCTGGGCTGGTCAGACCCAGTTCTTGCTCTTCCTGCCACTCATGCTGACTTTGGAGACCCCATGCTCGGAACCCATGCTTCCGAGACTCAGCTCCAGGGACCCCAGACTCCCCAATGTCCAAATCAGCTCCCCTCTTCGGCTCTGTGACCCAGGCCCCACTCAAGGGGATGGCCTGCCCGGGGTAGTGGGAGGAGGCGGTGGGCCTCGGTTTCTGTACACTTTGCCACTGCCCCTGAAGTGTTAATCAAATTAAGTCTCCAAGAAAAACAAAAGCTCTGCAGCCACTTCGGGCTGCCTTGGAGTCACTCACTCTCGCTCTCGGAACAGCTGGGAGAATTCCACATCACCTCCGTCCCCCAAGCCCTGGGTGGCTCTGACCCCAACGAACACACTCCTTCCAGCCTGCAGGGCCCCGGCGGCCGCAATGACCTCATAGCAACAGCCATTGGACACTCAGGGCAATTTCATGGGAGATATTTGTTCTTTGGTCTTGATGCAGAGAGAATTTTTTCCTCTCCCGCTGTCTCCATGGAAACCCCAGCTACACTGTTGGCTATCCCCCTTCCCACCTCATGCTTTTCAGATCAATATTGGAGCTTGGTTCCCCACTGGCTGCCCACAGCGGATGGGGGCAGAGCTCTGGGCAGAAGGAATTGGGACCAGGGTTAAGCCTGGGGCCAGGGGAATGGTCACTGAGGGGGATGAAGAAGGTGTCCAGGGTCCTCTTGCTTCTCTGTTCCCCCACTCATGAAAGCTCATCCCTTTAGAATCCCTCCACCCGCCCCAGTGAACCTTCTGTCCCTTCGCAGGGAGTCCCCTGAGCCAGGCCCAGTCAAGGAGAAACACAGACAGGTCACCAGCGGTCACCACCCCTTCCTCCTTAGGCAAGACACAGGGAGGTAGGGGGCTGTTGTCCTCTTTAAGGTCTGGACGGAGTTTCTTCCTGCCCCAGCCGGCCAGCGCCAGCCTCGGGCTCTTGGAGGCCGGTGGTCCCGGTTCCGTCCCTCCTTCTATCCGGGATTCCGCCCCCTAAGTAGAAACAGGTCCCTGCACGCCTCCAGCCCAGCCCGCAGTGCAGCGCGGGGCAGGTCGGCGAGGGGAGCTAGCTCCTGGACTTCTCGGGACTAACCTGCTATTTATTAGGAGTCAAGGTCCCTCCCGGTAGTGGGCTTCCTCGGCGACCTGTCAGCTCAGTCCGGGCTGTGCTCCACGCCCGACGACCCACCCCAGCCGCCGCCCCGCGCTCGCACCCCTTGCGCTCTAGGGATCCCCAAGACGCCGCCGCCACCCCTGCCTCTTCGGGGCTGGGAGCAGGACCCGGGC